TATATTTATATTTATATTTATATTTATATTTATATTTATATTTATATTTATATTTATGGATAATTGAATATCGATATATTCCTTAAAATTTGACTCCTCCAACGATTCTCATCCCTCTCTTCTCTCTTCTCTTAGGTATCGTCTCCCGTGCGCACCCACAGCAGCTTTCCAATGACCATGACCACGAACACATCGTCCCTTGCGCCGAACGTGGCGCTGCTGACGTCCTCGGTGAACAGTCCGAACATCAGTCGCACCTACAGCAGCACCACGACCACCACAGAGCACATTGAGATACGCAGCGAGGGCGGTACCGGGGATGAGGTGGACACGGAATCGATACGCAAACGGGTCACAGATCGACTGCGTCGCTCGCTCTCGAAGACCATCTCGACTGTGGCGGGCTTGAATTCGGACGCGAATAGGAACAGCTCGGACAGAGGCAGTCGCTATAGCCGATCTGTGTCGCGTTCCGTTTACGATGACGAGGACAAGAGCTCGAAGCGCAGCTACTCCACCGGCGAGGAGGACATCATTGAGGAGGAGGAGCAGCTGGAGGATGAGGAGGAGCAGTTCCGCAGCTTCAATGCTACGCGGCAATTGAGGACGCCGGACACCTCCTGCCGGAAGCGGCTGGTGCCCCGGGAATTTGGTGGCTGGCCTGGAGCACTGCTCCTGCTGTTGAATGTGCCCGCTCTGGTCTACTATCTCACCTGGAGCTGTACGGCGCGCAACGGCTGTCAACTGAAGCGGCCCAATCCCATGGCTCTGTTCGACTGGAACTATCTGACGCGTCAGGTGTTCCTGCCGCACGTCGTTGGCGTCTTCTCGGCCTACCAGTTTGTGGTCTTTCTGCTGGTGGCGTTGCTGCCCGGACGACGTGTCCATCTCACACGTGAAACGTACAAATTCAATGGATTGGGCGTCAGCTTCACCCTGCTGCTCGCGGGCGGCATCGCTGAGTATCTGAAGTATCCCGTGGTCAGCTTCATACTCCGTCACTATCTCCGGTTCTGCATCTATGGCCTGATCAGCGCCTTTGTGGCCGCCGCCTGGAGCTACTGGCGCGTCGACACCACCAAATACAATGTGCTCCGCCAGACGCTGATCAATGACTACGGGCGCAGCGGCAACTTCGTGATCGACTTTGCCCTGGGCCGGCAGCTGAATCCCAAGTGGCTGGGACGTGTCGACTGGAAGCAATACTACTATCGCCTCTCCCTGGTCAGCACCCTGCTCTATGCCGTCTGCTACATCTACCAGACGCTCCAGTGGCCCCAGTGGCCCCAGAGCCAGGACGGCTACGTCTATCTCGTGCGTTACTATTGGCAGAATGTCAACTACGATGCCGGCGCTCTGCTGGCGGCCAGTTCGCTCTTGCTGTACGTGCTGGATGCGCTCATCTTCGAGCATCATCTCAGCTGCTCCTTCGAGCTGCAGCACGAGGGCTACGGCTGTCTGCTGCTGCTGCGCTACGCCGTCACGCCCTATCTGCTCAGCTCGGTCAGCAAGTACTTCTACGAGCAGCGCGTGCCCATCAGCTGCTGGTATGCCCCGTACGCTGTGCTCTGCCTGCTCCTGCTGGGACTGGGCATCAAGCGCTACAGCTGCGCCTACAAGTACAAGTACCGTTTGAACTCGCAGCATCCCATCTTCGCCAACATCGAGACCATTCACACCTACCAGGGCAACCGGCTGCTGCTGAGCGGCCTCTGGGGCCATCTGCGCCAGCCCAACTATCTGGGTGACATCATCGCGCTTTTCGCTCTGGGCGCGCCCATGATCCTGCGTCCAGCTTGGCCGCCGCTGCTGTCGCTGCTGCTGCTGATCCTAGTTCTGGTGCATCGGGCCACGCGCGCCAATGCGCGCAATCAGGAACGCTATTTCTCCTCCTGGCAGCGCTACTGCCTCCTGGTCAAATACTACATAATACCCAAGATTTTCTAAGCTCCATCGAATGCTCAAGGCACAATTTTTGATTTGGCTCTGCCCACCGCAAATTTTTTGATGATTTTTGTTTTTATTTTAATTTTATTGTAATTGTATTTTAGTTTTTCATCGGATTTCAACTCGAATTATTTTCCTGTACATATATTCACAGGTTAGCGACCTGTCGTCCTTCATTTCACATTTTCACCCGTTTCATTTTTCTCGTTTTCAATTGATTTTAGTACAAACAAACAAAAACAACAACTCAACATTTATTTTACTTCAAAGACAAGATTATATGACTAGCCATATAAAGGATGTAATACAAATTATATATATATATATACACACACACGACTTATATGATTGATATATAAATTGAACATATTCTAGGCTTTAGAATTTATTATTTAACAACTCTGATATATAAATTTAGTTATAACAATTTTACATACATACATGTACCATGTAAATATATTGCAATTACTTAAATCTAATAAACAAAATATAATCGTTTCTCAATTGAAGGAAACGAAAAAAAAACAACTATTTGATTATATTTTTAATATGAAATGCAAATTGTATGGCAATGGGTAAATTATTATTATGTTATTTTAATTGAGCTAAATGCTGATTTAATTTTATATATTTTATTTATATATTTTTCTGGGCAAGTATTAACTTTCTGCCCATTTCTTTCCTGCTTTTATTCTTTCACGATCATCGTTTAGGGCGAGACACGATTGACGTTCGTGCAATGAGTCTGTGTAAGCAGCAGCCATCGTGAATAGTGTCGCTCCCTAAACGATGTTCGTGTATAAATAGCGCACAGACTTGATGAAGATCCGATGCAATCGGTTGTTCTCTAAGTTTTGCTGACAGTGTAGTAAAAGTAAAAGACATCGACAAATGGTCAACAGTTATTTGTGAAATAAATTTGCTGCTGCTCTTGTCTGCACTGCTTGCAAGCGGCTTTCTTAAGCAGTTCAGCATGAAG